GCGCCATCTCGACGCCTGCACCCATGCCCGTGCCGCTTGCGCTGCAGGACCACCGCCCCACCGTCCGCCGCGCCCAAGGCCAGCGTGCAGAGAGCGAAGTCGTCCGAAGCCGCAGCTCGTCCAAGCCCTTCAGCTTCCCTTCGCGTGCCAGCGTCCAGTACACAGCACGCGAGCGAGGCGACGTGCTCCAAAACCGCTCATCGCAGGCAAAGTCTGGCGGCTCTTTCATTCGTCGGCTCATTCGCAGAGCCAGCCTCAAGGGAAAGAGGTCGCAGTCCGTCGGAGGCAGCGCATCTTCGGTCCTCAGCCCCGGCAAGACCTCCATCGCGCTGCCGACAGAGCTCGAGATCGAGGACGCTTCCGAGAATGCGTCCACACCTCGTGCTGAAAGCTTCACATCCAAGAGCTCGTCCAAGGACACCAAGCCCCGTCGCAATAGCCTCGTTCGTCGTCGCAGCAAGTCCAAGGATCAAAGCTCGGCCAACGGGTCCAAGTCGTCGTCCTTCTTTGCGCCCTTCCTCGCTCGTGACCCAGCCAAGCTCAACGGCAAACTCCGCACCCAGCGCGAGGACTCGTTCGGTCATCTGGGTCCCCTTCCTCTTGATGACCCTCCTCCCTTTCCCAAGGATGGCCTGCCTTTCAGCTCCAGCGCTCCAATTCTGCCCCGCGACCTCGACTTTTCCCAAGCAGACGCGGTCAAGAGCCGCGATTATGCCGACAAGGAAAGGACGGAGCAGACTGTGCCCTCTTCCGATGATGGCAACGAAGCCACCGAGCTTCTGGATAGTCCTCAAATGAAGCAGGCCGCCGACCTTGGCACCCCGACTCTGGACGATGACGCACGACGCCGACTGTCGCACATGACCGATCAGACAGAGAACAGCATGGGCATGGGCATGGCCCTGACCACGCGCAACAACTTCGATTTCCAGGATTCGCTCGGTCTCAACGAGCTCGCCGCGGCTGGAAGGCAACGTCCCGGGACTATCGGCTCTGACAGTCACTCCTCCCGCGCTGGGCCTGCTCTGCCTTCGTCGAACGGACACTCGAACATCACCGAGAGCCACTCTCGTCCTCGCCCCGGCATCCCTCGTATGTGGCAAGGCATCGAGTCGATCGATGGCGACCATACGGTCCGCTCCACACACATCGATGATGCTGAGGATTCCGACGACGCGTCGCCGGAACGCAATCTCCCCGCCAATCGCTTCGACACCGCAACGACGACAAGCTCGTTCAAGACTGCCGTCAGCAATCTCGACTCACCCAGGTCCAACTCGACACGCCGCCTCAACGTCGGTTCCAGGGCATCGAGAGTGAGCTTACGCACCTTGGACACACCGCTCGCTCGCCACTTTGACCAGGCAGGAAGGCAGGATTCGCCGCTCGCCGATCTCATCACCAACCTCGAGAGACGTCTGAGCATCCCGAGCACTGCCGGCACCATGAGATCGACCCCGTACCATGATGCTGCTGCTTCGCCGGGCAGCGAGTTCCTGCAACTGGAACCAGAACAGACGCTCCCAGCCATCGCGGCCGGGCCCTCTCCTCCGCCCTCGCTCGGTCACCACGACCTTGACGATGAGGACGATGAAAGATCGATTCGGGCCTTCCCGCACCAGGCACATCCGTCGGCTGCTTCGCACACCGCATTGGTCGAGACGATGGGCCACTCGAACCGCAATTCGTACGCCGACCCCACCTCGCCAACGACGCCCGGTACCTTTGGCACCAAGGATGAAGAGCAGCACTGGTACAAGCGGGACACTTTCGGCGGCCTCGACTCGATCCCAATGTCGGCAGAGACGCTGCGATCGGTCGAGCGCGTCTCGAGCGCGACCCGACCGCAACTATCTCGTTTCTCAACAGCCACCATGGGCGGCGAAGATGATTACCACCAGGCAGGTGACTCGCGCGAAGGCGACCAAGAACAGCAAGAGGTGATCCTGCCCGAGGTCAAGGTGTCGGAGATCGAAAGCCACCTGGCAGCTGTCGAAGCGGCGTTACAGGACAATCGTGACGAAGGCAGCTTCGACCCCACGTCTCTGCGACAGCGAATGTCAGATGCGTCCTATGCGACCCATCCAAACTTGTCGTCGGCGAGCATGCTCTCGCGCGAGCCCAGTCAGCAGCCGGCACCACGCACGGCCGACAAGAGCACCGACGACCTGTCGCTGCCAGGTGCCTGGACGCAGGACAGCTCGTCGTTCATCATGAGCGACGACGGCCGACGCATCACGCTCGCGCCAGAGTCCCATGAAGCACTGGCGGATGCGGTGCGAAGCGTACGAAAGGCCATCAGCTCGTCGCAGCTGACCGATGCCGACGAGTCACACACTGCGATTGCGAGTCGATCAGTGGATACGCTTGGGATGGAAAGCTTTGTCTCGGATGCAGCGGAGCCAGCCGGAGAGCGCACGCTCGCCGGCGACATGTCCATGCTTTCGGAAGCGACCCCAGGTCGGGCCGCACGTCGGCGACAGGAGGGTATCCGAGACATCGAAGAGGCTTACAATCGCATGCTGGCTCTGGTGCAGTCGACGGCCATCGGTGTGACGCCGTCTCCCCAGATGCGTTCCGATGAAGCTCGTCTTGGCGTGGAGCCTCCTCGCCGTCCGAACAAGGCTGGAATTCCGAACAACACTACGACTGAGCCTTTCTTCACCTCTCCGCTGGCAAAAGCCTCGACGAAAACGGACGAGCCTCTCAGCCAAGCTGCTCAGTCCAAGCGAACAGCCTTTGACGGCGGGATGGTGCAGCAGCCCGGACGAACGCATGTCCACGCGCAGGCCCCGGCAGACCATCGAACGTCAACCTCATTGTCCGGCCTCATGGGCATGCCTCTCGACGTCAATCCGCAGATGCTGCGCCATGCCAGTGTCTCTTCGGTCGCCTCTGTGGCGGATAATTCGATCCGCGATTCGATCGATGGTGCTGCCGTGCGCAAGCGGCCTCCTTCGGATGCCAAGTCGAGCTCTAGCCGATATTCGCAGGCCTTCAGCCGAGACCACGCTGCCTCTTCGCTGATCGAATCGGACAGCTTCCGCAAGCGCTTCAGCAGTGACAACACGACCGTCGGTCGGGCCAGCTCGGGTGGCGGACACACGTCGCCGTCCGCTACCGCCAAGACGCTGGGCACCCCGCGCTCGTTTGCCACGTCCATCTCGCAACACTCGCTCGCCAATATGGTGCGACGCCACGAGCTGGAGAAGGAGAGCTTGCTGGACACGCTGGAGCGCGTACGCGCCGAGAATGCCGACATGCACGCGCGCCACGACAGCCTCACCTCGGATCTGCACGCAGAAGTGACGCGGGTGCTTGAGCTCGAACGAGAGCTCGAGCGTCGCGACTCGCGCGAGGTGACGCTCATCGGCCAGATTCAAGATCTGGAGAACGAGCTGATGGAGCTGCGCTACCTGGACCATCAACTGAATGCTTCTGCTGATCAGACGCTTGGATCTGAAGACGGCGAGGGCTCCATCCTCGATGTGGAGCTGCCACCAACACTGCACACGAGCCTCAGGATGGGGATCTCTGCCTTCTCGCCGCGCAGAAGTGCGGCAGGGTCCGCATCCCCAGCGCCTTCCTCTGTGATGTCGGCGGCGGCGGCTGCGGCCAAGCCAACACATAGGATCACACGTTCCGAGGCCTTTGTCTCTGGCCTACCCGGCTCGGAGCGTGCGACCCTGCCGTCGAGTAGGAGCGAGCTCCCGCGGGCTCGACCTGTCTCGCTGCTGAACGGTCCGGGAGGCCTGTTCAGGGAAGACCGCTCCGACAGAGGCAGCCAGGCGTCACCGCTTCCGACGCCACGCAGCAGCAGTCTGCTGCGTGGCAGCCATCGAGCCCAAGCCAGGTCTGGCCGCGGCAAGGACGCTTCGCCCGCGCTGCTCGGCCTCAGTCTGCCCAAGGATGAGGACGAGGCGTGGAACATCGCCGACGAGCAGCTGCCGGAAATTGATGATGAGCCCAACGATCTTGCCGTGGCCACATGGCCGCGACGGGGACCGAGCAGCTCTGAGAATGTCGATGGCATCGAATCCTCGCTAGGCACGCAACGCGGTCACGAGCCCCACGACGAGACTGACGACGACCGCAACAGCTCGCGTCCTTCCACGATCACTGTCAAGAGAACTGCCGCTGTAGCCAACGGTACCGAGTCTTTGGAGCGCGACAGCTCGACCTCATCGATGCCGCGATCCTCATCGCAGGTCACGGTGACAAAGAACGCGGTCTCGCAGCTGCCGCGTGCATCCGTGCGTGCAAGCAAGATCCCCACAAGCCGCTCGGTCAGTGGGATCTCGGAGTCTCCCAGCCACCGCAGTGTCTCGTCGCGTCTTCCCAGGCTGGGGCTCAAGCCCAGCGCCAACTACGCCAACGCGGGTGGCATCCGCAGCGTGTCTGGCGCCACGGACAAGTCGACCGCGTCCACGCTCTCGTCCGTGTACAGCACCATGTCCTCCGGTGCCCCGCCCTCGCTTGGCTCGTTGCAGAGCGGCAACAACACGATGGAGGATGAGATCCAGGCCGAACTCGCCCGCCTCGGAAACCCTCAGCCGTACATGCGATACTACTCGCCTCCGCGCAGCAAGATGATCTGAAGACGCAGTGTGCGGCCCCACGGATCCACGCTTGATGGATAGCTATTACGGCATAGTAATGACATAAAATGCGCCTGTGGCGGCGTGTTCATGACGATTGTTGGATACTGTGTCCGACTGCTCCATTCGCCTGTTCGTGAGCAAGTCGAGTTGATGCTAGGTTGTAAGGGCCGGGTCGTCAGGCAGCGTGCAGGTGTGCCGGCTGCGGCCCCTGTGCTCATCGTGGATCGTGTAATACGCGTGCTGCGTGGTCAGACCTTGCAGCGTCCTGCTTCTTGAGACATTAATGCTCTAAGTATATGGCGACTGGGCGCGATCCGACGCGCATTGGAGCTGCCGCGTCTCAGGAGCCATGGCGCTGTTCTGTTGTGCTTGTTTGGGAGTGGATGGGATGCCAGATATTCAGCCGCGTACGCGTTTCCTTGCGCCGTTGATGTGCCTCCTCGCTATGGTGGCTGAGCCCTTGAGGCCGTTGGATGCGTCCTGCTGGTGGGCGAGCCTGGATTCGTTGGCGAGACGCTGCATGTAGATCAAGAACGCCAGCAACACGTAAAGGTCGGCGGACTTGGAGAGACGCACGTTCGGTGGCAGATGCGCGCGTACGAGCTTCTTGATGAGCGAGCGTGCTGGCAGCTTCATGTTTGCAGCTTCGAGTGAAGGGTGATGATTGTCGGATGGAAGTAAGCCTTGGTGTTGGAATCTCAAACGACGCGCCGCGGCGACCTGGGCTAGCAGTCACGTGCCGCGCTGCAGCCGCAAAAGTGGAGGAAATGCGCAGCTGCACTTTCCCAACACGTCAGACAAGGAGTGCAGTGCTCGAGCCAGGCTTTGCCCTGCTGCATGCCTTCGTTCTCAACCTCTCGTAGGATATACGACTTCAAGATGTCTTCAGAAGCAGGACCTTCCAACACCACACCATCGCTGAAGCGATCCCAGCTTTCGTCTGTCGTGCTGGATAGTCACTCCTCGACAAGCGTGGGCAGCAGCATCAGCCTGTGAGCACACGACTTGCTTTGCATCTCTTTGGCGTTACGCATCGCTGACCTAACTTCTCCGACGACCGTGGCTCACAGTCATCCCCTCCCCATCCTGAATATATCGGAGCATCTCGTCCGAACAAGGCTACAGAGCAACAATGCCGAAACCACGGGTATGCGCCTTCCTTTCCCCCACCACCTTGGCAGTTCACAAGTGCTTGGGCGCTGACTTCGTGTGTTGCCTCTTTCTTCTCGCAGTATACGGCGTGCTCCTAGGGACGCAGCAGGGCCGCGAAATCGACATTCAAAACTCATTCGAGATCACACTGGATGCCACGGCGTCGGCGGACTCTCCACCGATTGTCAACCATGCATTCCTCAAGGCGCGCCAGTCGCAATACAAGCAGGTCTTCCCCACGCTCGACCTGCTCGGGTGGTATACGGTGGGCGAGGTACCGACGCCACGCGACCTCGAGATACACAAGCAGCTGCTGGCGTACAACGAGACGCCGCTGCTTGTTCAGCTGTCGCAGACCGTCGCCTCATTTGAAAACGCCGAGGCCACAGGAGCACTGCCGATCCGCGTGTACGAGTCGGTCGTCGAGGTCGTACAGGGCGAGACTGCCAGCTTCTTCGTGCCTGCAGGCTACAAGATCGAGACGGGAGAAGCAGAGCGCATTGCTGTCGACCATGCAAGCAAGGCGGGCGCCGAGTCCGGCCAGGATCAGGAAAGCACAAGTAGGTGCCCACCGCTGCGCGAAGAACTAGCCCGGATGGTGTGCTGACATTGTACGTCCCTTCGACAGTGCTCGCGAGTATGCAAGCACAGCACAGCGCGATCGGCAAGCTCAACGACCGCATCGTCCAGGTGCTGAGCTACCTGCGCGCCATACAAGACGGCCAGGCCGCCTGGGACCACGAGGCGCTGCGTCAGATCCAGACAGTCGTCGCCAATCTGCCCAACACCGTGCTTCCAGAGCTGCAAGACGAAATTCTGCGGGTGAGTACAAAAAGCAAGCCCCAGCATCTATCTCTGACATCGGGCAGCTGGCTCGCAAGGCCTATCTGAGTTGATCTGCGACTTGGTTCGTTCGGATCGCTGATCTGATCTTTCCTTCTCCTCGTATCGAATCTCCAGGACCACAATGACGTGCTGTTGACCAACTACCTCTCGGTGCTCACCGAGAGCCTGCACACGATGAACGAGGTAGGTTCCGGCGGCCCACCTTTTGCGCGCTGCGTTGGCCCGAGACATGAGCGAGTCTCGAACATGCAGTGCGCGCCGGGCATCGACGCATCGCTCCCACGCCCACGCAAAGTTTGCTGACCACGGAGCCATTTTTCCTTCTCATGCGTGTGTGTTCGGTTACAACGGTTTTTCGATGGGCCTTCTGCATGCTTTGCCGATGGAACGTTCTGTCGCTGAAACTCGCTCGTTTGCCCTCGTCGCAGCTGACGGACAAGTTCGAGCTGGTCCAGGCAGGGGCAAAGCCTGACAGCGATGCTGTAGCTGGTGCCTCGGCATCTGTGCCGCAGGGCCGCAGAGGCGGAGGCGGTCGCAGCTCGGCGCTGCGAGCCGTGTACTGACCACCTCAGCGTCATGTTGCGTCGCATGCCCCAGTCGCAGTAGCACGTGCTTTCTGCACTTCAAAGCGGTCGGCAATCCACGTGCATGACGACCACGGTCCAGACTCAAAATGGCCACGATGGTGCCGCGTTGCTCTTCGGAGCTGTGTGCTGAGTGAAAGAAACTCGTATTCGGGAGCGAGCCTGGACTCAGCTTGGTTGCCGGCATGGACTCTCCGAACGGAGACGCCACACTTTGGCACTGGTGTGTGCTATGTTGGGAGGAAAGGCGACAGCGGGGCTTCTAGAAGCCTGGTGTGCTCGAGGCAATTAAGCTACCCGAGCATTCCATGAGGGTGGACACGTTTGCGATTGCAGCGGTGTGCGGTGCTCGAACAGTTTGGAGTGGCCGTGGGAGACGCCGGTCACGACGAAATTTAGGCGACGGGGCCGTGCCGATCAAGATTCGCAAGCGGTCTCGACCCCAAGTCTTCCACGCGCCTGGGTCCAAATTCTGCCGCTAGGCTCGGGCGCCTATCGCGCGTTCACACGCTGGGCAAGCACAAGCGGCGGACAGCGCCTACGAAGGGTCGAGAGTGTGAATGGCAGACAAGGCCGAGAGGCGCAGCCATCGGCGGCACATGTGACGCTCGAAGTGAGAGAGCACTGCGGGTCATGCCCATGCAAAAAGTATGGTTTGTTAGGTCGCTATGATGCAACAAAGTTGATCTGGTCAGCAGCCAAGTGGATGGTAGGAAGTGCCACGATCGGCGATGTGCTTGCCTCGGCATGCGTGCACACGAGCCACGGGTGTGGAAGGGGAGGTGCTTATTGGGTTGGGAAGAAGCCTGTCGCGAGACGGTGAATGGTTGAAACTCCGGTTTGCCGTCTAGCAGCATGCGTCCACTTGCCTGTAGCCACGCTAGCAGTTTGGTAGTCCGACAGCCCTTCCGCTGCACCTCGACGTACGTACAGTAACTACGCTAGTTGCAAGCTTCCGCACCCGGCCAAATCACTTTTGTGAAGAAGATAGCGACGCGCCAGTGGGTTGTGTATGGCACATTGCCCCACGCCGCGATATCTGAAGCACCTCTGTGTACAGCCAAGGAAGTCAGTCGCAGGTAGCCACGGCCAAGGCCTGAATGGCTGCAGACGCATTTCGAGGGTCAGAAAGGCGACGACTGCCACGCCGAGGAGCAGTTCGCCTGATAACGGGCTGATGTGAGACGATACTTGCCGATCGACTTGCGGGATGAGACGCGTCGCAGCCCAATCGGGTAAGATTTCATAGCTATGCCGTCCGATTCATGCTCGCCCGGATCCGACACGGGGAGCGACGTGTGGGACACGTAGGGGCCGGATAGCGCGGCACAGAGTCACCTGTGAGCGAGGGCAAGGGGGAGGCATGAAAGCGGGCGGCAGGCAGGGTCTTGCGACTGCTTGCTAGAGTGGCCTTTCTAGTGGAAGCGAGGTTCGGAGTTGGCGAGCCCAGCGAGGTCAAGATGAGACCCGCTGGAGGCGAGCTTGCAAAATCTCGCGGAGCCTGATTTTTGTCGAGCAAAACAAGCCCACTGGGGTTGAAATTCCAGACACGAGGGCGGGCGACGCGCGTCGGGCGCCAGAGACCGAGTCTAGGCAGAGTCTCACAGGGGTTTGGCCCGGCAAAATGCGCCAGCGATATGCCACAGGGCCTGCGTGTCGGCCCGCTCCCGAGTTGCCTATGATTCTAATGGGCCGCCAACGAGCCATCAACACAGCACCTGATGCAGTTGTCGACGCGTTGACTCTGAAATCTCATCTTGCGTGCTCCTGGCATCTCGTCGCCTGGTTGGTCGGTCGCAATACTTGCTCGCAAAGTGACTGGAACCCTCAGTCCGAGCCCATCCGAACCGCTCGGTTTTTCGGCATCCTCGGTCCGATAATGCGCCGTCCGACGCCGAGCAACGCGCCACGAGTCTTTCGCCTCTCTGCACGCCAAGTCGATGTTTCGGCTGATGCAAGGATTGTGACCCAACCCATGCCGCCTAATACCCGCGCCTCCCGCATTGCCCCGAGTCTTTGATTCAACGTCACCGTGCTCAAGCCCATCATCAGACCGGAATACGTCACTACAAAGCTGTTGATGCCGCCGACTAAGACCATCGCGGAATTTGGCACGGCTATACAGACTCGATGCAGTCAAGCTGCATCGCCGCGCTCGGCGCTTGAAGTCTGCCGCGTTGGAACTCAGATCTGCATGCGCCGGCACACAACTTTTTCGGGGGTCGCCCACCAAGGCTTTTCCTGCTGTACTGTTAGCGTATCGAGATCAGAGGGGGCAGATTGGTGGTCCGCCACGAGGACCACGCCAACGACTCGCGTACAGAGGTGCAGGGCGTTCTGTTGCACTCAGCTGCCAAGCTCCGCCGTGCTTCACCCAGCGTCCGAGCACGCTCCATCGCTTTTCTTACAAGCGAGGAAAGTATGTAAGAACGGAGATGGCGCAGCCATCTCCGTGCCGGTGTATTTTGGTTGGG